GTTATATCATTTGTAAACCATTTTGGTTGGATCTTTCGTTTAACTCGTTTCGATATTATTGGAGCGTGTTTGTTAAGGATATTATTAAAAATGGAATACCACGAATCAATAATGTCATCAGTATCTTCAAACACGAATGCTGAATCCCACGGGGCTTCTGAAAGATCTGTAGCAAACAATTCATTATTGAGGGACTTTAGATTTCGGTATTTGAGTGATGTGTGTTCATGTATTTTAGTGCCTGCTGCACCTTGCTCTCCGGTTTTCTTAAAGCGCCTGAGAACGAATACTGGGAGATGATCAGACATGCCAACATTTAGTGTAACAACATTATGCATTCTATCTGGGTGACTTGAGTAGATGTGATCCAAACACGTGTTAGACACTGGTCGGGTGATACACTTGACAAGTTGAGTTAGATTTAGATTCAGAAGTGTTTTTACTAGATCATGTTTTAAAAAGGAATCTGGATTTAAGTACATGTGTGAAATTTCACATGTGAATTTGGAACATGTGACTTTTCACATGTGAAATTTCACATGTGAAATTATGTTTCACATGTTCCAAATTCACATGTGAAACTTCACATGTGAAATTTCACATGTGAAGTTTCACATGTGAAACACATAATTTCACATGTGTTCACATGTGAAGCTTCACATGCGAAACACATAATTTCACATGTGTTCACATGTGAAAAGTCACATGTTCCAAATTCACATGTTCCAAATTCACATGTGAAATTTCACATGTGAAGTTTCACATGTGAAACACATAATTTCACATGTGTTCACATGTGAAAAGTCACATGTTCCAAACTCACATGTTCCAAATTCACATGTGAAATTTCACATGAGAAACTTCACATGTGAGACACATAATTTCACATGTAGTCACATGTTCCAAATTCACATGTTCCAAATTCACATGAGAAACTTCACATGTGGAACACATAATTTGACATGTGAAACTTCACATGTGAGATATCACATCTTCCAAATACATATGTGAAATATCACATGTTCCAGTTTCACATGTGAAATTATGCAAAGCTTCAATCATGCACAGTTAAACCTGTCAAACAGTGAGATACTGTAATCATGGCATATAGGTGTAGGAAGTTTAAATAATTTATTTATACAGTTAATTTCTACAAATGTTTAGCTACCATACAAAATAATTTATAATAAGGAAAAAAACTTAGCAGTTCAAATGTCTTTTGCAATTTTTCTTCTTTTCGTATCAGCATTTCTTTTGTCTTTGCACTTTTGGGCCATGGCAGCTTTATCACTGATGAGGCTGTTGTTCCCGCAAAACGTTTAGTCACATGAGCTACAAGAAAGTAAATACAAGACTATCATTAGCTGTACATACTGTATTTCAAGTACTGGTACTGGAACTCCACAGTCAGTTAACATTACAGTATATAGCACAAGTTCACAGTTCACATGCAGCAATATGAGCAATTTCCTCCTATCCAACCTATAAACTTTGCACCTTATTACGAATGGGAAGACCTAAATAAATGTAGTTAGTAGCACAACCCAGAATATTTATGGCACTCTCATTCTTAGTCTCCACACAGGTTGTATTTATTGTTAAAGACAAATTAAACAAAACTAACCCTAACCTCTACCCCAAAAAATAATTTACTAATCAGAAAAAAAGTTAAACATTTTTAGTTAAGTTGAACAAAAACCTGTCCCAACTCGGGTTTGAACCACAGACTACAGCACAGCAGCCATCTGCCTAAGCTTCTGATCTATTTTTGAGCTCGCTGAAATCCTTCATTGACAATAAATTTTATAGTTCTGGTTTAGTATGTAAGAGTGCTGTAAGCCTGTAAATATAGCCTGGCAAAGTCTGTTTAAGGACCTCAGATATACTGTAGCCAGTAATGATTTTTCTGTGTTGGTGTAATGTACTCACTCAGGAATATGATGCTTGAGATGTTACGCTGAGTATATATCCACACCGGGCAAGCGTAATTAAAAAATATGCCTGACCATGGTGGGATTAATCGAACCTATGACCTTTGGAATACTAGCCCAATGCTCCGCCAACTGACCTATGCGGACAGATTGATTCAAATACAGTATGTGATATTTCGTAACAGAATCTAGTTCCTCCAATATCAATGTAATCTAATAATCAGTAATGATTTTTCTAATTCCTTCGATTACATTGATATCGAAGGAACTAAATTCTGTTCCGAAATATCACATATTCGAACCTTAATCTGACCGCTTAGCTCAGTTGGCAGGGTATTGCCAGGCTAGTATTCCAAAGGTTGTAGGTTCGATTCCCATCGTGGTCAGGCATATTTTTCAAGCTTGCCCGGTGTGGATATACACTCAGAGTAACATCATAAGCATCATAATGTAGCCACTTTGGAATTATTATATGATCCCGCCGGCATGACCCAGCTTGCAATATGAACTGTATCAACTGTTTAGTGCATTATTCTACTTCTATCTGGCCTAGACAGGATCGCACCTGCCAGGACAAGAAACTCTCGTGAATATAAGCACTCTATCTTCCCTGCCAGGTGGGGTGTATTGTGTCTATATTAAACACACCATCCTGGATTATAACCTACTGTCCATTCGTGCCATTATCATATAAAAAGGCACATATATACAGGGTATACTCTAGAAGGGTTTAGCTTGGAAGATCCTTCAAGCTCAAGCTAGCAAAAGTTTATACTTTTTTACCATATTGTGGGAAACACTAACCATTTAGTCGTAATGTGCCTTGATGCATTCAATAGTCTTGTTTACACTACCAGCCTTGGCGTAGCCTTGGCCAACATTTTTACAGTGTAAACAGACTTTGGCCTAGCCATGTCCTGACCTAGGCCAGGAAATCTGGGCTCACTACAACCGACTTGGCCTAAGCCTAGGCTTGTGGAAATGGCCTAGCCTTGACCCGACCTAGGCCAGGAAATCTGGGCTCACTACAACAGACCTGGCCTAAGCTTGTGTAAATGTAAACACTTTCGGCCCTGGCTGGGGCCTTATTTTTATGGCAATGTGTGTCCACAGTGAGAGATTAGCAGACAACCAGCGGACAGCATCACAACACATAAAAATACACACAATTAATAACAAAATTCTTGCCCAAAGCGGGCCTGCCTCAAAAAAATAGTGTAATCATTATGGTGTAAACGTGCCACATTTACCTTGGCCTGGCCAAGGCTAGGTCAAGGTTTAATTGTAGTGAAAACAACACTAACTTTACTCTGTCTAACCCGGTCAGTAACCCTAGGCAGAATTAATGCCTAGGTGATTTTACTTGTCAAGGGGAGAGAGCTGGCACTCAATGACTTGAAAGACCTTGGAAATCCAGGCATTCCAGGGGAGAGGTGATTAAAAGAACATAATTTAATTAATACTGTCAAATAATTCTCATGTTTTGGTATGAATAGGCTTGCAAGCCATTTTGTAGCAAACCCATATTTACATTCATGTTCACATTTCACATATTGTTTCAAATAATTCACTATATAATTTGCTTATATAGTGAATTATTTTGCTATATTTGGCGGCGTTGAAATGAAATAATTTCAATATATAAAATCTCGCGCGCGCAAATTCAAATTTTAGCAGCCACATGTTCAGGCTAGTACAGCCACAAGATAATGCGCGAATCAAATCGAAACCTTGACATCCCCCCCCGGGCATACCCCCGAGAATTTGGATTTTGACGTTTTGGTCAGGTCAAATTCCCTACATATATTTGTAATTCCCGTTCAAATACACCACGTATTGGGAAAAATTGGAGTTCAAATACCCCACCCCATGTACGAATTGGAAGCTACAGCATTTTGCAATTTTGGAATTTCAAAGTTTTTCTTTCCTTCAAAAACTCTCTTCAATCATTCGAAGCCGTTTTCTTGTAGCCAACCAAGGACAAAGTTAATTCCTTTGCACTTGAAGACCTTGAACTCATCCATTAATTATTGACGCCATTTTGGATTCTGCACACGTGTTTAAAAGAAAAATTCAAATTCCCGACCCAGGTTCAAATTCCCCACCTTCCACTAGAAAAAAAGGTCAAATTCCCGCCTCAGTTAAAATACTAAACAAGCAAATTCCCCAGGTATGCCCGGGGGGGGGGGGATGTCAAGGTTTCGATTTGATTCGCGCATTACCTTTACACTGACAAGATTATTCTCATCCGCCATCTTGAAACTTTGAAATTTGAGCCAGCACTATATACGGACATCGGTAGCAAACACCTCGGTTCTTCATGTATACGTGTTGAACTGATTCATATAATTACTCGCTGGGGCACTCTGTGCCCTGGCGAGTATAGGTTTCGGCACAGGGAGCAGAGGAGTCGAGTTTATCTAGTAAAACAAGACAAACACCGTCTTACCTTGTTAATTGTAGTATATTTCATTGTAAAATCCCAATGTTCGCATTAAAAATGCATATTTATTCATCAAAATTATCAATCATATTTTGGTTTTATATTCGATATTATCGAATATAAAACCAAAATATGATTGATAATTTTGATGAATAAATATGCATTTTTAATGCGAACATTGGGATTTTACAATGAAATATACTACAATTAACAAGGTAATACGGTGTTTGTCTTGTTTTACTAGATAAACACGACTCCTCTGCTCCCTGTGCCGAAACCTATACTCGCCAGGGCACAGAGTGCCCCAGCGAGTAATTATATGAATCAGTTCAACACGTATACATGAAGAACCGAGGTGTTTGCTACCGATGTCCGTATATAGTGCTGGCTCAAATTTCAAAGTTTCAAGATGGCGGATGAGAATCAACCTCGTCCCCAGGGTCTTCCTCGTGGTGGCGCGTGAGCTGAGGAAGACGGATTTTACTACATCCCGGGCGTTCTTTGTCAGTGCCCGCGATCACAATTAGTATTATCAGCGGTATATGATGATAACATCGAGTGTTTCCTGAAATCACAATGTTTGAAAGAAAACATCTTTAATAAAAGCCAAATATAAATTATATTATACTCGATGTGAATTTATAACTTGATTAAACTGTAACAGTTTGTCAGCATGTTAATCTATATTTCAAGATATCAGTTTGCTTCTAGTCAGTTTATTTGATCCAGACATATTGCCTTTTAATTTTTTGACAAAATTGTTTATGTTTTAGCACTAATTTCACAGATCTTATATGAGCTAGTAACATTTATAGCAGCTCAAATAAAAAATAACCAAGTGACTGGACAGACGGGAGTTATTTCGTATTTTGTAGCAATATAAAAACTTTTGTTTGCGGTAATCTTCACCAAGTTTGTCGTTAGCTCAAGCGGTAAAGGCGCTGCGTACCGAAAGTGAAACGCAGTCGGGGTCGGGATCGATGCCGAACATTTATTATCTGATTTATATCTATATCTATATTTGTTAAGTCGGTAAAATCCTTTCGAATATCACACCAACTATTTAGCTCTTTTTCTCAATTTTTTGTAATTTTTTTCTTCCTTCCTTTTTTAACTCTTAAAAGTTAGGCCGGTTAGTGTTTGGGATCGGTATAAAATCTAAAGTGCTTTAAAAAAGTTTTAATCTTTTTTTATCTGGTTGAAAATGTTTGAATATTGAGTTGCGAACTCAACCGCTGGTAATTCTAATTGTGATCGCGGGCACTGACAAAGAACGCCCGGGACACAGAATAGATAATAGGACCAGAAGTCTTACTCAAGCGGAAACATGTCCCATCTTTTATACTGCGCATGCGCGAGCTAAACAAGTGTAATGCCACAGATTAAGAGGACCAGATGTCCGACTTCATTGGAAAAAGCGTAAGGGCTTGGTCACTGCGCATGTCTTACTGCGCATAGCTTAGCAAGTGACTAGAGGCAGTCACCCCCCCGACATTTAAATTTCAAAATGGCGGCAACAATTTTATTTTGAGACAACAAACATGAAATTAAAGTCTTTTTATTTGCCCGAGAGAGGGATTGTGTGGTTAAATTTGTGTTTAAAACTTTCAACGTCAGTACGCGTATTGGAAAAGTGAGTTTATCACACTTAGTTTGCAATATTTTACGAATTTTTCCCTTTTTCGATCGTCGTAGGAGTGAAAAACTATAGGCGAAATGACAATGCCACTTTGCTGAGGTATTTGAAGTCATTTTCTACAATGTACGATGTGCTTTCTTGCACTTTTGACGATGTCTGATATTCATTGACAAATTATGTGCATAATTTATAGTTTTCTTTGCATAGATATTAACTAGAAGTAGAAGACAACTAGATAAGTTAGTTTTGTTTACAAATTTTACATTGTATGCATGAATGTATACATAGTATTTGTAAATATTAAGTTAATTCATCTATTACGTATTTTCTTTAATAAAAATCTTGTAACAGGAAATGTGAGTTTCAGAAAATGTGTGTCTGAGTGTCTCAGACAAAATTATTCTAGAATATTTATTAAAATATCTCGCCTACAAACAACAAATTCACATGAATAGTGATCCAATCACATTTTGTCCTGATACATGAAAGCGAGGTGCCCAGGCTAAACCGGCATACATGACATAATTATTGAAAAAGCCTAATTTGTTGTATAAATCTGTCTAACTACTCACTTTGTAATGACTTTAACCTGCAACAAGAGTTATCATGCAAATGTGCAACTCCCTGTTGTTGTTATATACTAATACTACTTTCCATATAACCCATTGAGTCGCATTGCGGCCCGATGCGCCCTACTTTATTGTTTCACTTTGTCTAACGCCAGACAATTTTACTTGTCAAGGGGGGAGTGCTGGCCCTTAATGGGTTAGACATTAACAAAATTAAATAGTATAAAAAAATACAATTCAACCTCAATGCTCAATGAAGTGGCCATAAAGTAGACTGGGGGGGGGGGTCCAATGTCTATTTATTCAATCATAAATCACTGATTACAGTAATAGGTAGACTGAAAAGATCAAGAAGTGTTAACAAACACTGATACAAATACTTACATTGACCTGTTGGTGTCGACATGTGTTTAACATTATATTTACTGTGTGATTAATATTTTTTTTAAATTTTTTTTTTTTTATTAACTTTACAATCAAATGACCGAAGGTAAGGACAACAGGACGTGAGTCCCTAATTAAGTCCCACCAGAAACGTACATTACATAATTACTTATAGGTATTACAAGAATACATATTATATACATAAACATTAGGACATACAACAATTATAATTACATCTATGAACAACAGATTGTATGTAAAGAACGACATTTACTGCATACAGTTTTCCATGTTCTAGGACGGTCTACATCAAAAGTACTATTCAGCTTTCTAGTGTAATATATATATAGTTTAGATTTAGACAACAGGACGTGAGTCCCTAATTAAGTCCCACCAGAAACGTACATTACATAATTACTTATAGGTATTACAAGAATACATATTATATACATAAACATTAGGACATACAACAATTATAATTACATCTATAAACAACAGATTGTATGTAAAGAACGACATTTACTGCATACAGTTTTCCATGTTCTAGGACGGTCTACATCAAAAGTACTATTCAGCTTTCTAGTGTAATATATATATAGTTTAGATTTAAGTATGGCGACTGACGAAGATGATTTGATATCAGACGGTAAATTGTTCCATAAAAATACAATTCTGTTAAAGTATGAGTTTCGGAAGAGGGAGGTTTTTTTTAATATGTGTATAAAGCAAAATATTAAGCATGATTCGTAAAGGAGGGCTGCTTAATGGAGGTTCGACTATAGGAGTCTCATATTGGCCGCAGTCTGGAAAGTTTGTAGTTTGCGGCATAATACTATTTTACATATTAAAACAAAAATTAGCTGCACCCTTTGCAAACTTTCCAGTCAGGAATATTGCATAGTTTGTGAGACTTGTGTAAACAAAACAGATTTTATAGAATATTAAATATTGAATTCCATTTAGTAAGTGTGCTAATATCCTACACATGTAGTCTATACTAACATTAGAGGAAACCTGTCCAATTAATATACCCAAATTATATATTTTTGTAATTTACTGTTTGTAGACTAGGTGAGGTATTTAATTTTAGAATAATTTTTGTATGAGACACACAGTTTCTGAAACTCACATTTCCTGTTACAAGATTTTTATCAGAGAGTCTTCGTATAAGTAGATGAATTAACTTAATATTTACAAATACTATGTATACATTCATACATTCATGCATACAATGTAAAATTTGTAAACAAAACTAACTTATCTAGCTAGTTAATATCTATGCAAAGAAAACTATAAATTATGCACATAATTTGTCAATAAATATCATACATCGTCGAAAGTGCAAGAAAACACATCGTACATTGTAGAAAATGACTTCAAATACCTCAGCAAAGTGGCATTGTCATTTCGCCTATAGTTTTTCACTCCTACGACGATCGAAAAAGAGAAAAATTCGTAAAATATTGCAAACTAAGTGTGATGAACTCACTTTTCCAATACGTGTACTGACCTTGAAAGTTTTAAACACAAATTTAACCACACAATCCCTCTCTCGGGCAAATAAAAAGAGTTTATTTTCATGTTTGTTGTCTCAAAATAAATTGTTGCCGCCATTTTGAAATTTAATGTCGGGGGGGTGACTGCCTCTAGTCACTTGCTAAGCTATGCGCAGTACGGCATGCGCAGTGACGAAGCCCTTACGCTTTTTTGACTGAAGTCGGACATCTGGTCCTCTTAATCTGTGTTAAAAGTGTGAAATCTCAACACTATGAATATGAAGTTTTTATGGATATTTTATGAGCACTGCGACCCTACTGACTCATTTTACAGTCTTGACCACCAGTGAGTATATAAAATATTACAATTACTGTACTTCTACTTGCAGTCGAAAATATTTTCGTATTAAAAAATGGCGTACAGTCACGACAGCATGCGAAAATATTACCCCTTCTTTCTAGCTGAAGGAAGGTTATATTTTACCACAACAATAAGTACTATTTACAACATGAGCGGCCGGTGTTGTATCGGATGTTTCGAGCCGAAGGAGAGTTAAATTAATATGAAAGTTTTTGAGGAGCTTTAGTTTAATATAATTAAATATACAACATATATTGGAATAATAGAACCAGGGAATTGTTGACAATATAAATTTGATTGTCAACTTAAGTTGACAATCTTATGTCTAAAATTACGAGTATATTTAACGGACTTATATCTTTAAAATGTTTATAAAGAGTGTACAAGTTGTTAATTGTTTTGATAAACTTTCGATTGGATTTCGATAATTTTGTCGACTTGGATATTATAAATATGGTTTCTTCTACAATTTCCAAGGAATTTCTCATGATATTGCATAGGCACGTTTAATATCAATATTAATTAACCACTGGCAAGCTGTTACAATGTTACCACCCCCTAAAGTGGCAAGCAATATGGCGAATTCATGATTGAATTCCAAGCTTTCACCAAAATGCCAATATCTCAGAAACAATTGCATAAAAAAGTCTGATCTTTTCAACCAAACATGAATGATATATGATTGACCAAATTTAGTTTAGATGACCTTGCATACCTATATATATCATTGGTTTTTTCAGTCAGTATTTTTATTTATAAAGCAGTGACATTTTGTTTTCCATGTCACTCATCACCTAAACGGGCTATATCTCCATAAATTTATATAAACAAAAAAAAAATCATTTACTAAATTAATACATATCTATATTACAACCAATTTTCATCTTTTGGGATATGAATTATGAAATTATCAAAAAATTTAAAAATTACTTCTTTGCTTTTTTGGGGCATCTTGTTTACAACATGAAATTTAGAACAGCAACTAAGTGTTCAAGTTCAACAAAGTGTGCAAGCCAAAACACAGTGTTTGTACATCTTTAAAGTTTTTTTATTGCTTCAAATATATTTAAGAAGACACATGGTGCTTAAATTTATTTATTTTAATATAAACCAAGGATGGGAAGGTGAGAAAATGAGAATTTTCTGAGGTGTTTTTAACACAGACAATGACAGTCGACATTTTGAAAGGCACTCTGCGGTGACAAAACTAAAAGCTATTCACTTCTGTACTCAAAGCACTGAAAAGTATCATAAACAGAAAATACTTTAAACACATGTCAGGTAAGACTTTTAGCTTGATATTTTCATGCTTCTATTGGGAAAGCAACGGTTTAAAAGCCAAAATTATTTTGCGCGCCAATGTGGGCAGCTATAAAATGTCAGACAGGCGGTTTCTTTTGAAGTCTGGCTCTGAAAAACAATCTCTTTTTTTGAGTTTGAAATAAGCCTTCATAAGGACTATTGTGTAGAAATGTTATCTATATGCTCACATGAAAAAGATAACCTAATATTCAGGTATTCCACATAGCTATAAAAGGGTGAAATAAGAACTTTCAT